ATATTCCATATCCCATATTCACAGAATGAGGCTTTCACAGATGCACAAAAACCGAGAGCAATTAGACGGCATCATGACAGACCCTCAGTCTCGAGTTGGTTCTTTCGTTTTTGTGGAAAGCCAATGGGCTGCGACACATATTGCTGGCAGTAATTGGAAACCAACCGGCCATAGAAGGGCTTTTAAAATTGTTGAACTTTGGATTCCTATTTTTTAAATTTTGGGAAAAACTTATCAAACTTTATAGTATCCTGAAAAAAAATGTAAAAAACTGTAGTCCTCAAAAATAAAGCATTGTAAAAGTTATCTGAATGATCAACATTTTAAAAATCTCATTTATATCTCAACATTTGAATGATCAACATTTTAAAAATCTCATTTGTATCTCAATCTATATCGATAGTGTAAATTGCACTTAAAGCTTGTGTATATGATTTGTTTAGTATGGGATACTTTATGTTCACCTTACTCCGTCTAGCCTTGTTAAATGGCATACACTTTTGCTGACTAGGATTAATTTAAGAAGTGAACAAACATCCAGTCCTGCACATCCGATAGCCTTGCACACGGATCCACAATCTTGCCCAGTTTATTTGCTCATCTGCCAAATGTTTTGGGCCTTGGGCCCATTGCTATCTGCAGTACATAAAAATATATATTGTCGTACATTTTCATGTCTGCCGGTTGGCTGTCAAATCTTGGATCTCACAAATGAATTTTCGGGGACACTTTTCACACAAATTATAATGTGTCGTAATTTGGTTTAATGCACGCTCGGCGAGACCTAAACCGCCGCCCAGCACAAAAGTCCTTTATTGCCTTCCCCAAGGCTTTAAGTGTGGCATTGCTCATACGCGGCGTGGGCCAGGGCCATTTTCTACCAGCGACAGACGGCTGGCCTCACTTTAAGCCACTGCTAGTTTGGCATTTACATTTTGTGAAGCTGAATAAGGTGCACTGATTGCCATTTAGTTGGCCCTTATGTTCGAGCGGCCAATCGCAGTTAATACAATTAAAAGTGCATGCGAGGTGGGAAATAGGACGGAAATCAGAAATTTACAAGTTAATGAAATCAAAAAGATGCAATTAATAAGGCAATTACATATGATTGCACCCAAAACTAATTAATATATTTAAAAATTGTTCAAATTAGCAGAGAAAAGTTTTCCATAAAATCAAAAATATTTTCCGGAAAAGGTGCAAAACCAGAAATATATAAGTTAATGAAATAAGAAAATGTAATTAAGTTTAATTGGACACTTGACCTAATTATTGAGTTGAGAAATCGTTGACATAAGTGGATAAATGGTTTTCAGGAAAAGCGATCAGATTTAATTATTGCCTGCAAAATATGAAAGTATAGAAAGTAGCATATGGTTTTAGGGTGTAAAAGTAGTTAATAGATTTAATTTTTTTTAAAGTTAACTATCATTAATAAATCCTTGCAGATTTTTAAGTAGACCATCCAATCCTTTTGTCACATTTTACGGATGCAAAACGAAGGACATTCTGAAGTATCGTCATATCTGCTCTATTTCTGCCCTGCATCAGACACGTGTTTCCGCTTTTTTGCATTGCCTTGCAAAATCCTGGGATTTATTCTCGGTTTTCAATCTGGTCTGAGTAGTTTAACTCGTAGCATGAGCGAATAATTGTCTCTAGCGTTTATGGAAATCACCATGGCAATGAAATATGGGTCGTATTTATGATTTTCTCCTTTCTTCCTGTCCCAGTGCCTTATTTGTAAAAAAGCAAAACGTTTCAATTCTGCTTAGCATTCGTAAGCTGGTGAAATGCAACAAAATGCTTTCCAGACGATGCTTGTTGTTCACCAAGCCTGTCCATCACTCACCACTCAAAATAGATTAGACTCGGATCGAGTTCAAGGGTCATTCGAGGGTATATGAGTTGAATATAGAGTAGGTACCTCAGGTGTTGAACGGTTTTCTTTATGTGTTTTGTGAAGAAATTAAAAGAAAGAGAACTTAAAATATTTTTGGAAATAGTAATAATATTAGAATAAATTAAAATAAATTAGAAAACAGCAAGATGTTTATCTTTGGGATATTTTTTAAATAACTTTCAAAGGGTACCAACTTTTTAATATGATTATAGTTATGCACAAGACTTCACTTACTTGTATAATTTAAAGTGTACATTTTTTAATAAAACTCTTTAATTTAATTAATATAAATGGCTGTCTAATAGGAACTCCATTATAATGATTTATCCCCCGTGTGAAAACGCCTTGAGCTTTCCACCGAAGTCCTCAAGCACCAGAAGGAGTCGAAAGTGGCAGCAAATCGGGCAAAGAGCAATCCATTCTGGACAAATAATTGCGCCTTGTGACCCAGCTGATGATGCTATCTGTGGATGATTTATTCGGTGATAGCGGATAATTTAAAGTTTCCCCATTGCTGCTGCTGTCAGTAGGGTTTTTTTCCTGCACTTTGATTCGATTTAGGCAACTGTCGATGGCCCGAAGTGTTAGTTGTGCCCACAGGTCAAGCATGATTAGCATATAAATCAAGTGGATTTGTTCCTATACTTCGCTTCTGGGCAGCCCGTCTCGAGGTATTAATTAGGGAAAACAGGCGGAGGCCCCGGGGTCCGGAAAATTAACTTGGCCTTCTAAACTTAATAAAAAAGTTTCGGTTTCGGTCTCGCTCCGTTTTCTTTTTCTGGGGTCGGGAATAAAAAAACAAAACTCAAGCAAAAAGTTCACCAAACTTTGTGCTTAAAATTTCATTTATTACTGTTGCTCTCGATGTCTGGCGATTGGAATTCGCCTCCTTGTTTTTTTCTTGTTTTCCCTTCAGTTCGGAAAATGCATTCTATTCGAATTCACCCCCATCTATCAATGTACTTTTAAGCCCGATACTCGAACAAATTGAGATCTAGGCAAATGGAAAAATCCGAAGCGTTTTCCACTTGAGCAAATTGAGTAGGCTTCGTGTGCAGCTGCCCACTCACCCAAAACTCTTGCCCAGGTAAAACAGTAAAACATAAACATTTTTGTATAACCAATTTGGGCAGACAGGCGACTACTGTTTCAAAGCAAATTTGAAAGAGAAGGTTTCTTCCCAATCAAATAATTTTATTTTATTGTATTTAAAATACATTTTAAAAGGCTTTAGTACCAAGAAAAATGTATATTTTATTCTGTAAGTAATTTATGATGTGATTTGTGAGTGTGTTTTTAAACTCTTGTTCCCTGTTATCTTTAGCGTAAATGTAATACCTTAGACCTAAAACGTTTTACTCAAATATTAAGGGAAATGCTTAAGGAATGCTAATTAATCCCACCACAATTTGTTCCCATAAGTAATGTGCAAACTCTTCCTTATTTACAAGAGGAAATTTGAAAAATCGCGATTGTTGGTCTGGTGGCCAGCTCAAAACTCGCTCGTTAGCTTTTGATTTACCCCTCAGGCAGCCCAGCCATAAATTCCTCCGCAAATTCAGCTCGTTTGCCAATTTGCGTTGCTTTTTTAAAGTCCGGGGAAATGGGGGTAGGGGCTCTGCACACTTTTGACCGCCGGCCATTCAACACGGACCCATCCAAAGAGCTGGAGAAATCCGCTAAATGCTCGCAGTCCCGGGGCGAAATTGCCGTAGGGAAAAGAGATTTAATGAATTTATGTCAAGGTGCGACGGAATCCGGGATTCTGGTCCGACTTTGGCTTACAGCCGGACAAGTGTCGGATTTGGGGGCCCCTCGAAAGGCGCTCCTCGAAGGCGGCAACGTTATCAACAATGAAGGCGAATGCCATTTTAATTGGCGCAACGGGACAACCCAGCTGACAGCCGGTGGCGTGCACTGGTCCAAATATTTATTTATCTTCAATTTACACTACAAAAAATTAGAATTATAATTAAGATTCCATTTTCTAAAGGATAAAATAACATTGTTATGATAAGTTTAATTTTTAATTGTTGCTGAACATATTTTGCAATCAATTTTTTATACAGTTGCAATAATCATTCATTCATTTTAATAAGGTTGGCAATTTTATTTTTTTTTTAAATTAAGAAAAATTTCTAAGTTTTAGAATCGCTTTTACCTAGAAAAATTGAAAAGTTCAATTTTCGGTGCATAGTATATTTAAAATATATATATAAAGATTCTTATTGGTTATAATAAGTAAACCCAAATAAGCTAAAGTTTTTAAAAATTAAAAAATATTTTTTTTTAAATAAATTGTAGTGTCAGACCTTAAGGCTTCCGTTTCTGTGCAAATTGTATACTGGATGTAACTAAAAAAAAATATGTATTATTTTATTTCTGTGTCTGCATGAAGAGGCGAAAATTCGTCGCCAGCAGCAGAAGTTGCTCCCCTGGGAGGGTGGACCGGTAAAGTGGGTGGGAGCAGTGGGTGGTTACTTTCACCATCAATGTCGCCCTCATCCGACCCCAAAAACCCCATGGAACTCCCCTTGAATTCACCGCTTGACTTGGCCTTCGCTCATTGCGCACAATTAAAAGTTATCCGCGACGTTTGCCACACCGCCAAGCCGCAACTTGGTCCTCGACCGATCCACTCCCTTCCTTTCCATTCCATATAACAAATGTGCAAAGTTTAGTGAATTAAATGCGTCGCCAATGACATTTTACTGGGGATTCGTCGGCGACAGCTGAAAAGCTGAAAAGAGAAAAGCCGGTACTGAGTTTTCCCAGACACCCGGACAAAACTTTCAATTGATTCCGACAGCCCTGCAGCCAAAACTGCTGCAAACTAATCTAGTTCTGCGCCCAAAAACATTTCGGTTTTGGTTATATTTGATGGTTATATTTATAGGGCAATAGTTCAAGTTCCAAGTTTATAAGATCGTCGTGAACAGGCTTTATTTGTTGTCTGCAACGTAGCGAACATACCCAAGGAGGAGATTCGTTTTTTATGACCGGAAAATATCTAATAATATATAATGTAGCTTAGTCTTTCATTAGAAATAAATTCCGTGATTCTTCGTTGTTATTTAAATACGTTTATTATTAGAATGCCTTGACAAAGTAATCAATTTTATTCAATAGTTTCTTACACAAATAGGTAATTCCTTTCAGAAATAATAATGAATTTGGCCTTGAATAAGTGTGTCCAGAAGGGCGGTTGTCAAATTCTGGGCCTCAACAAGTACAGTATACAACAGTGGTTGAAGACCATCGACACGATCATATACGATGGAGACGGAGTTCTTTGGAACCACGATAAGGTGATTGATAAGGCACCGGAAACCTTTAACGCTCTTCGCGCCATGGGAAAAGAGGCCTATATTTGCACCAATAACTCGGTGACTTCGGTAACGGGAATCTGCAGGAGGGCCCAGGAAATGGGTTTCTTGGTGGCCCAAAATGAGATCCTATCCTCGGGCCAGGCTTTAGCCAAATTCATGAAGGAGAAGAACTTCCAAAAGAAAGCGTATGTGATGGGGGGCCAGGGACTCGTTGACGAACTGCAGTTGGTGGGGATCGAATCACTGCCCTTGGATCAATCTTCTCTGGAGGGCTTCTCAATGCCAGAAGACATACACAGTTTCCTTTTGGATTCCGATGTGGGTGCAGTGGTAGTGGGAAATGATAAGGATTTCGATGCGATCAAATTGACAAAGGCCAGTTGCTATCTCAAGGATCCCGAGATCATGTTCGTGGCCACAAGTCGCGATATGGCCTTTCCGGCCGCTCCTGGACGAATGGTTCCCCGCGAAGGGGTTATGGTGTCCGCTATCCAGGCTGCCAGTCAACGAATGCCCTTCATCTGCGGAAAACCCAATCCCTATATGTGCATCGACCTGATGCGTCAGGGAGTAATCCACCCGGAGAGGACTTTAATTATAGGAGATACGTGAGTTTAATTAAATATCCTTATTAAAGAGGTATAAGCATGATAACCTTCCTTATTTATTTAAAAATTGACAGCATGAATACGGATATTCAATTTGGTTACAATTGCGGCTTTCAAACTTTGTTAGTGGGCACTGGGGTCAATAGCTATCAGGACGCGATTGAGGCTCAGGCATCCAAGGTTCCCTCTTTATATCAGCAAGTTCCCGACCTGTATGTGCCAAAACTTTCCAACCTTTTGCCCTTCTTATCCTCTCGGAATAGATAAAATGTAAAGAGCAGAGCCTTTATTTATTAAATGATAAATAAACTTAGAAGTTAACATCTCATATCTTCTGAAAACGGGTTAATAAGTCTCTGATTTTATATTAATCTGCATCAAAACTTAAGAATATTTAATGTTTGGAAAATGGTTTCAGAAATTCTATTTTGAGTGATCAAAGCTTCGCCTAGTTTTTAGTCACTATTCAGACTTAGGAACACAAGATCAGATTCGGTAAGCTATGTTTAAGCAAACCTGCTCCGACCTGACAAAGTTGCCGAAGCAACGGGTTCGCCAGTGGCTGTCCTCCATCGAATCGGTGATCTGCGATGCGGACGGAGTCCTTTGGCACTTTTCGAAGGCCCTCGATGGGGCAGTGGATACCTTTAACCAGTTGAATACCTCCGGCCGAAAGACCTTCATTGTATCGAACAACTCGGAGATTTCCAGAATAGATATGGCCAAAAAGGCAAAGGATCTGGGCCTTACGATCGAGGAAGATAGTGTCCTAACCTCGTCCTATTCGTGTGCTAATTTTCTGCTCATGAAGAAGTTCCAGAAGAAGGCGTTTGTCATGGGTGAGAGGGGAATTCACCAAGAGCTGGAGGCACTTGGCGTTTGCTCTATGAAAGTGTCCGAAACGCTGGAGAAGCCCATTCACGAGTTCGTCGCGGATTTAAAACTGGATCCCGATGTGGGGGCAGTGGTAGTGGGTCGGGATGAGGGCTTCAACATGGCCAAGTTGATGCGTGCCGGCACCTATTTGCTGAATCCTGGGATAATGTTCCTGGGCACTTGTTTGGATGCCGCCTATCCCATCGGCAATAATCGGGTGATGGTGGGCGCTGGTGCCACCTTGGCGGCCATGAAAGCCCTTACTGGAAGAAAACCACTGATCTTGGGAAAACCCAATCCCTGGATCGCGGCTCCCCTCCTGCAATCCGGCCTTATCAAGCCCGAGACCACCCTAATGGTGGGCGATACGTAAGTTTTTCTTAGAAAGGGGAACACACGTTCATTATTATATTATTCTCTCTGATTAGACTCGAAACGGATATCCACTTCTCAGCGAATTGCGGCTTCCAGTCCTTGATGGTTGGCACTGGCGTTAATAGCCTGAAGGAGGTCCAGAAGATCATCGAGGAGGGCGACCCAAAGAAGAAAGTGTTGGTACCGGATACCTACCTTCCCAGTTTAGGCCACTTGCTGGAGTTCCTCTGCTAGACCGCATACAAATTGTAAATTATCATTGCCAACCATTTCTGCATAAAATCAATACCCCAAAAGGTCGGCCTGCCTTCAATGTCACCCAAAAATGTGGGGCCTTTCCTTTGTCGGGTTGCCGGTCCCTTGTCAAAAGTCGAACACTTGCAGTCCCAACAACAGCAACAATAGAAATACGGAAAAATATCCACGATGTGTTCGTCACTTCATCGCCATCGTCGTCGAGCGTGTCCGACAGATGCCGTCTGGGATGCTGCTCCTCATCACGCGGGATATCCTCTTTTCTTTATATGCACTTAAAAAATATACATCCGAATAAAAAGAAATTAAAATATTTCCCAAATATTATAGCACCCAAAATGATTTTCAATTATATTAATAATTCAATATTTCAAATTGTAAAATTTGAATATTTTTTAGGGGAAGCCTCAACACAAAATCACTTATAAATGTAATTTTGGAGTCTGAAAGTATGCAACAATATATTTCACACTCAAAAGTACAATGAATTTATCCAGAAAGACGACTATACTTTATTTACTGCATACTTTTAGGCACCTATAATTACATTCAACAGATATATGAAAGCCTTACTGATTTGGATGGCATCCTACAATACCAACATTGTTTGGAAGCCTGAATTTCTAGTTAAATTAATTAAATAAAATACAAATTCCTAGTTTTTGTTCAATTTTACTTTTTGAGTGTACCTCCTGTCAACTGGCAGTCGAAATGGCTGCCATGGACACGCCTCTGGTGTGTTTAAAGCGCTTTTCGTCGCCAGACATTTTCTGTAGCCGCATATAAAATATATGGCCCACAAAACGTGTGGCATACTTAGCGGCGTCGCCAAGTGTGTTTTTGCAATCTGTTGTCCTTTTTTTCCTTGGTCCTTTCTGCGGGGTCGCGATAGGTGTCAGTTCGGCATGTTTCCAAGTTATTGAATGTCACAATTTGTAAATATTGTCTATTTATACTCGCCTATTTGTGTGTTTTCAGCTGTTCTGTGGGAGTCAATGGGAAAATAATGTGCGAGTCATTTCGAGTGGGCATTGTATTTTCAATGGTGTTTTTCTTTTGGATTTCCTAGAATTTTAAACCGATCCTTGATTGCATTACAAAGTACATTTTTATAGACAGTACAAAAAATGTTGTACAAAAATGAAATTTTTGGAAAATTTTCTCGACACAATAGTTTTTGACTTATCTGTTATTTTAGATTAGTTTTACTTTAATTTTACCTAATTGAACAAACAAAAAAAAAGAATATTTTAGGTGTCTGCAAATTTTAAGTGCATATTAAATTAGTTTAAAGTTTTTTTAAAACAAGGTGATTCAAATAAATATGTAAAAACATTATGGTTTAACTGTGCATTAGCCTCAGGTTTGCTTGGTCGTGAAATGGGAAGGTTCTTCAAGGCTCTGCTTTGAATGAACTGATAAGAAGAAAACGAAGACCCGTTGGAAATCCATCCACCGAAACTAAAATGAAGCTCTGCTTTAAAATGGGAGTCCTTAGGATGTTGGTTCCTATAGCGGTTCTGGGTATTACTTTCCAATGTATATCTTGCCAGGTTTGGCGTACTGGCTACAAAGGACATGGCACCACCCACGAACAAATGGGCGTGGTGCATTGGCCTCTGGCGGAGTTTACCCAGTATTTGTCGGTGGTTAACTACTCGGACACACCGGAAGTCCAAACCGGTGGCATGGAACCCGCTTATAGAATCGGGGAGAACATCCTAAATGGCATTTTTACAGATGATCCTCCAATTCCACCGGGTAAGTTGTGAACTCAAAAAAGAGTTTTTAAGAGATTTTAAGCATTATAATTGATCCTTTTTAGGTTACGTCAAGTTGAGGAACGATGAAACCTATGTTTTGGGACCAAAAGTGGAACAGGAAGAGTGGGACGATTTGTTGAGGAGCTACATGTTGTTCATTTTTTTGGTGATCTGTATAATGATTATCATTATCATTATACCGTGTTTGGGGTAAGTTCTCTTAGTCTAAAATCCTTTTTACATCAATGATCCTTATGGTATTCTTGGTTTAGTATCTGTTATTGCTGTTTCTGTTGTTGTCGTCGCTGTAAACAAGGATGTCCACCCTGCGAGCAAGATCGAGATGCGAGACGACGTTTAATTTGCGGAGCCTGCCTGTTCCTACTCATCCTGCCCATCATGTAAGATTATAATTATGAGTTTATTTGAGTTTTATTTTCATTTCTTAGCCTGGGCCTCATCATTGCCTTCTTATCGAATCGAACACTGGACTTGGGATTGGAGGACACCTCGAAGACCATGAGGATGGGCAGCGAGGACACCTGTACTTTTCTGAGGGACGTATCAGACCACATCCATCATTTGTTTGTATACAATTTCGAGGAAATGGAAAGACACCTCACTGATCTTCTAGGAAGTAAGTTACAAGTATTTCAATTTAAATAAAATTTTACTTGATTTTCATTTGTTATTTGTTATTGTTATTGTTATTTGTTATTTTTTTGTATCTCCTAAATCGTAATAAGAGGCCCATCTACACGTTTTCATGGACTTGAGCGATACATCTGAGGCGAATTCTATGGAGGAACTGGCACGAGTTCTAGCTAATACACCAAAGGCTTTAAATCTAATGAAGCAGGTTAACTTTCTGGAGAAAGAGATCCGTTTCCTGACCGCCCAATTAAGAGATGGTACTACACTAAATTGGAATGGTTTGTATCCTAAATAATTGTGTATATTTTGACCAGGTTTACGAGGTGTAAAACGTGAGACAAACTTTGCGGTGTCAGTTCTTTGTCGAGTTGACGAGTGCAGACGTTTTTTGACCAGAAACGATATCCAGTTTATAGACACGTCCACCTGTCTGAATATGGAGGAGGCAAGTCTGGCCAAAAAAGTTCCCATGAAATCCTAAAATATGGTATATTTTTTACTCTTTCAGCTGCCAGACTCCAAAGTTTATGTGGACGCCTTGGAAAAGATCGTTTCCACCGGGTTAGCAGATCTTCCTCAGAGGGGTTTGGCTCGACTGAGGGAAGTTCAGGAGAAGATCAAGTCGGAGTTGGATCGCGTTTCGCCGCCCATCTACAGGGATCTTTCCCTCGCCAAGGAAACATTTAGGGCGCAGGCGAAGTTCGTAACCAATGCAATTGATGCCGTCATCAGTCAAGTTCACTTGGCCACTCTAAATTCCTCCAAGTCCTTTGACGATGTCTACGAGAGGTTCAACGAAAGCCGTTCTACACTCAACTTGGTCGTCTGCATACTGATTATCGTTGTAAGTATATTATATGAGTATAAGTATATTATTTTATGAATTTAAAAAACCCTCAGGTACTGGTTCTTTTGATATTTGCTCTGCTTTTCGGATGTCTGGGTAGTACCTCTACAGGTCCTGGCAATGGTGTTTGCAGCAAAGTAACTGGATCTTGGTTCCTGCTAATGTAAGTACTAAATAAAAATAAATAAGAGTCTTGACACTGAATAGATTTTAAAACTATCTCGGTTTTATTAAATGAAGCGTTATAATTTTTAAGCAATGTTAATATCTCCTGTTTTATTAAATGAAGAGATTTAAAATTTTATGTTTTTCCTATTCTCAGTGCAATTATCCTGTTGTTCTTCATCCTGTCCTTCATCTTCCTGGTGGGACTGTTCTACTTTGTTCTCGGAGTGGTGATCTACGAGGGCGCCTGTGCACCCTTAAGAGATATGTCGAACAACACGCTATTCCGAACCCTGGAACCCTCCGTAAATCTCATGCAGGCAATGCCCCGTGAGGATGGAACGACAGTGATTCCCCTGAAAGTCTCCTCTGCCATAGCAGCCTGTCGCGAGGACGAGGCCATATTCAGTTATTTACGGGTAAATGGTATCTACGATGTGGACGATCTAATGCGGATTCAGGTGATTACCAACGAAATGCCAATGCAAAAACACGTTTTTCGGGGGATCTGTCCTCGGTGGTATTGCTGGATACGGAGGAGAGGGGCAAACTTAATGATATGCGGAACGATAAACTGGCAGACTATCACAGCACCCTCTACACAAAGATCCTGTGCAGCCAGTTTGCTCCAATTAGTCTGGACACGTTGGCGGATAGGTATTACGATCTGTCCGAAACCATATCCCCCAAGAGCTTCAAGGAGGCGGTCATCAACTTTAAGAACCAGAACCTCCACCTCAAGGCCTACGTGGAACACTTCGGGAACAAACTTCAGTCGCACATAAAGAAGATAACTCGCCTGCTGGATACCATCGACAAGCTGATCCTGTACGAGAACTACAACTTCGCCACCAGCATCCACATACTGCTCCAGGCAGTGGCCAGGTCTGAGGATTTCATCCAGCACCGTGGTGTTCAGTTCATCAACACTTTGGGCAAGAACCTCAGCATGGTGGTGGACGAGCAGGCGGAGGAGTACATCGGTTACATCAGTGCCCAGTGCAACCAGAATGTGGGCCACTGCCGACCCCTCAGCTACATTTACGATCGCAGCGTCCAACTGGTCTGCCGACGACTGGTCGATCCGATAGTGAGTACTTTATGGTTTTTGTAAACTCAGATTCAGATATTTAAAAAACACCAAGCTCCCACGGGTTCTTTGTTATAATTGTAAATGTATTTTTTTTAACATTTGTTTTGAAGATATCACTTCAAATTGTTTAAATTTTAAATTTAATAAGAATTTTGAAGACATTCCTTGTACTTAAAGTATGTTTAAGGAATACTTAACTATTTCTTAGATTTTATTTTAATATCATCTATTATTATCTTATGAACTGATATTTTAACTAAGATAAATGTAACCAATAAAATCATATATTCTTGCAGAACGGCTACTGGGTGGGAATCCTACTGTGCGCCCTTTTCCTGATACCCGTGCTGATCCTGGCCCACTTTCTCATGTGCCTGTACACGAAAATCATGATAGTACCGATTGTGGCGATCGGTGGATTTGCAGCTGTGGCTGGGTAAGTTGTTCTTAAAGTTGTAAAATTTCAAATAGGGCAAGTAACATGTGATATCATCTTTTATATCACATCGTTTAGAGCCCGTAACTGTCCCATTTGTACTGGGGAGCCATATGTACCTCCGCCGATCATATCCTGTGGTGGTGGTCAGCAGGCATATTGTGGGTGCAGGATGTCGGGTGCCGGAACCAAGGTCTTCGAGATGGATTTCCAAGAGACGACCACCGACATGTCCTCGGACAGCTTACTGATAATAACTTCCGACGACGAAATGAAGAAGAAGGACGACTAGCAAATCTGAAAGCATTTTTACCATTTTTATCGTGTTTTTACAAAATTCTTGGTACACAAGTTTTACTACATTTTACATGTGAGAGTAGAACATAATTTATTTTTATTTAAGTGGAGTGTTAAATAAAACCACTTATTAATGTATGAAGTAATAAGTATATTGTATTTGTATTTTTCTTTAACTATAGTAAAATTAGTTAGAGCATTGAATACTCCACCATATAACCGATTTTACTGAGCTAGCAATTTATATTCGATTGTTTTCCTTGGTTCTCGTTGCTTTTATTGTCAATTCAAAATGCTGGGCCTTGTTTACAGGGCCCTGTTTGTTTTCTGCTTGTGGCATCTGCCCATCCAATTGTCAACTATCCCTGTGAAGGGATGAGATTGCGTTGCCCTGTAATTGAGGGCCGTTCAAAGCTAATTATGCGAGTGTTTCGGGCCACGGAGGCAAACAGAAACACTGCGAGAAAAAACGCAATAGAGAATAAATATTAATTAAAATTATAAGGCATATTTTATATTTAAGTGTGTAATATGTCATATATCAATGGCAGATATAAATCTTTATAACGCAGCATTAAATCATATTACTTTATATTTTTGTCAGTGTGCAAAGAGTGCGTGGGCTGGAAAAAAATCGAAATGAAGCGAAATGTCCGTGGTTGGGTTCACTTGGCACTAACGTTCAAATCCCAAGTGTGGATAGCTGTCAGGACGCCTCCGGCTCCCCACGTCAGTGCCATTCCGCAGGATAAAGTGGGGCCTGGGGAATTTAGTTGTGTATTAAACGGAGAACAAGTGCTCCTTGTTACGCGGCATCTCAATGCCCGATGTTTGGCATTGTTTGCCATTGTCTCCGCCTCTCGTTTCGTCCTGATGCGAAAGTTAAGTGCGAAGTTTGAAGACTTGGAATTCCGGCGATTCACATGGCCAACATTAATTAAATTTTTGACGCTACACAGCTTCGATGCTTGGACAAAAGGCTGCTAATTAATTAGCAAACAGCTCGACAGGGTCAACACTTTGTCATCGACGCTCGCCTCGCAAAAAGCCGAAAAACTGTTTGTCGTTTGTCAAAGACTCAATCCAAGGCCCCAGCACCAGCACCATCACCATCACCATTCGCCACTTGAAGCCCGAATAATGATAATCCTTGTAGCATCAAAAACGCATCAAACTGTTAGGGCGACACCACCGACAAAGTCATCAGCAGAAATATGTACTCGGGGTCGGCGGGGCCTTGGTGTTGACATTATCCGGGCCTGATTTATTATCGCCCAGCGTGGTGACACTTCAGTGTTGGCAGGAACAATAGAGTTCTCTGGCCGCTTTTGTTTTGGCAGCGACAAAAAGATTCAAATCGCTAAGCCCGAGGCATTAAAGTATTTCATGAGGTTTGCCAGGTTCTCAGAAAGGCACACCTTTAATTATGTGCTTATTGTCGGGCTACTTACCGAGCAGGAAGGTAAATATGGTTTAAAAAATTAACCAAGGCTTGGAATAATCTGTATTGCACATTAAATAACTCTGTCAGCCTGTTGAACAAGAAGTCAAAGTTATCAAGTCAATTAAAAAAACGAAATTATATAGTTTATCAAAATTATTAGTAAATACTTTGTAATTATATATTTAACTTGTTTAATAAATAAATTAAGGAAATAAATTATAATGTTATATTTAAAAATTAATAAATAGTTTATTTTGAAATATTAAATATAAAACTGTGAGGTTTCATAAGAAGGATCTTCATGTTTAAAGTCACAAAAATATTTTTAAATGTAACTGCTAATCCGATATATCTAAAATTGCTATGCCTGAAGAATATTAATTTGGTAGGAAAATCGTTCTTCCAATAGAATGTTGACTTGTCAACTCAACCGGCAATTTTCTCAATTAAAACAAATCTCCCGACCTTTCATTTTGGGATATTAAAAGCATATATTACCAGCACACACAAATATGTGGGCATGACAGTTTTAGGAAACATGCAATAATATCCAGTTCAAATGGGCTGTGCTTTGGCTGGCTCTCCTTGTTCCAATTATTTGCTGTTATCTTAGATCGGCGTGTATATCCCCATTATTAGCTTGGGGCTCACGTGCGGGCGGTAATTCACTCCGGCAGGTTGCCACCTGGGCGATCCGACCTTGCCAACCCCAAACCCACATCCATCACCCATTTGTGCGTGTGTGTTTGTATCTTACTGTTATGGTTATTATTATTTAAGTTCCTTTGTGGGGCTGTGGAGCATTATTACCGGCTTCACGACTGTCTTGACTAAAGTCGACATCCTGCCAACGTGCTTAGCATAAGATACGCAAATGCGCCAGGACCTCCTCCATCCCCCGCCTTATCCTTACTCATCCTTACCCATCCGTAGTACGCCCCCAGTTTAGATTTTTCCGAGAACAGGACTGAGATTTTCCCATCGGCCTGACACTGCGTTGGCAATTATCCGACAGGACCCGGCCAAATTGAATTGCAAGTGGCCGTCTTAAGTGCTCGTTATCATTTTCCAAACTGCGTCTGGCTAGTAAACTTTGGCTATTATGGCGACTGTGGTAATTGCGGTGCAAATTCTGAAAATCAATGCAAATCAGTCCTCCGAAAATTTGGTAAATTATTCGCACACTAAAAGCATTTCGGATTTCTCATCATCATTTATTTGCACAATCGTTGAATTTATTATATTAGTTTCGATTACGTATTTGCTATGACTATACAATATTAAAGCTAAGCTAGACCTAAATAAATTAGGGTATATTTCAATTAGGAAAAGGGGATACTGAATCATTATTTTAGGTAAGAATATTTAACTGGGTAATGCTTTTTAAATTTACCAAAATATTAAATAAAATGTTGGAACATAAAAAATTTGTTGGAAATATATAAAAAAAACTCGAAACATTGTAAAACAAATATATCTTATTTTTATATCTTTAAAATATTTTTGAAATTTGTATCACCATTACCATCATTTAACAATAACTTATGATCCCCTTTCCTGGACTTCAGTAATCTCAATTAAAATCTATATTTCATATCTTTGGTATTCGTTTATGCTTTGCATTCTTGCTAAGTTATAGGTATTTACAGAACTCTTAAATGTATTTACACAATAGAGAGGATTATACTTGTTATTGAGGGCCAAGGAGCAGTAAATATAATTCTGTTGTGAACACCTGAAAATGTCTTTTTCTTTCATTATTTATTATTGTTGCATTTGCTGTTAAATTGAGCTACTTGAGTTTTTGGGGCGACTAAATAATGCTGGCAAACTTTTGAGCTGACTGAACTTTGAGCGGCGTTTTCAAAACTTTCTGACAAGTTGACAGACTGCCGGCCTTCTTATTTTTGGACCCAAGAAACCCCAGTTTCCGGGAAAAGTGTGAGGAAAATCGAAAAGTTCAGGACACCCAAATCAGCCAAAGAAAAGGAAAATCATTCATCAAGTTCGGCCGTGAAATGCTGTGTAAAGGATATTTAATTAAAGGCAGTCAAAGTTTACGCTAATAAATAAAACTTTGACCAAAGGCCAATGGAAAGTGAAACGATATTGGGTTCGAAAAAGTTTCAACGACTAATTTACTGCGAAATTGATACAAATTCAATTGATTGAACAAGGGAATATAAAAGGATAAAGTCCGGAGAAAACAATATTAAATTCTCAGTCTAAGAAACTATTTTCTTCAGCCTGATCGCTGGCGAGTCTAACTGTCTTAAGAGCTATATCAACGAGTAAAGTTTAGGAGGAGAAGTAGAGAAATTGGGAAAGGAAACACTTAACGCTTATCACAAAGTAACGCAACGCTTGGAGCGTTTAGTTTATGCCTTCTGTACAGTTCAATATATAGTAATTACAACTGCGGTCAAAATACTAGCACTACCTTCAGGGATTGGCATTTTTAAGGTATATCACTTGAAGTTAAATAAGTTGATTTTTGGCTCTGTAATTATTTAAAATCGTTTTATTGGACGTGGGCTCACCGTTTTTCTAAATTTTATGAAGAGATTCGAAATGTTTTTAAAAATCCAGTTATAAATATATTTTTTTGGTATA